CTCNCTCTCTCTCTCTCTCTCTCTCTCTCTCTCTCTCTCTCTCTCTCTCTCTCTCTCTCTCTCTCTCTCTCTCTCTCTCTCTCTCTCTCTCCCCCCCCCTCCCTCCCTCAACACCCCTCTCTCTCGCTCGCTCGCTCTCTCCGCGAAATCGATTCCACTTTGATCGCGGACCTCATCGCGCTCCTCCAGGGCGCATTTCAGATTAGCCCACTCGTCCGTGCTCGATCGCAGATCGGATTTTAGTCGCTCGCATTTTTGCGTCGAGTTAAACACACACCGCTCCGCAATCCGTCGGAATTGGAAGTTATTACAAGCGCGACGTGCAAGGTGAAAACCCTCCGCCGTACGAAGAATGTAGGACACTAATTTCATTCCGGGGGTGGGTTTAGAGTCGTTTATTGAAATTGAAGCCGGGGATTTCGGGCGGTGTTCCATAGGCGCGGCGCAGCGTCTAAGGAATTCAACGGTGCGAGCGACGCGAGATTTCGTCGTATAATACTTCGTAATAATTTTACGTAATGACGTCCGACAATGTCGCTACGATGATACGACAACTGACAGGAACGAGCCGCATTAGACGCGGCGTCGAGCAATATTGCGTTGCAAAATGAAAAAAAAAAACAATGTGACGCGTAGAACCGTGTCACGTGTTGCTTTATTCTTTCCCCCCCCTCCCCCCTCGCATTTTCTAACTCGTAACTTCCTTCCCAGGCTTCCAGCCGGTCTCGAAGGTTTTTAATTAACGAATACAACTAAAACGTGAGCTTCAGCCCTCGCTATCCTCCATTTGCACGTATACCAAGCCCGTTCTTTTGTTATTCTTAAACGAGGCTACATCTCGCTCCCACAAAATGTTTATCGCGCTATCGTTTCACAAAAACTCGCGCGTGTGGGTGTGTACGATACATAAATGTGCTCGGCGGCGCGTCGGGCTTGGACTCGCCAAGTCCTGAACGTGCGGATCAGTCGTCTCCCCCCGGGAGTTTTAAAAGATCGCTTGTAAGTACGTTGATGGCGACATCCAGCGGACATCGGCTGAATTTATGCCTCCCTGTCGCGGTAAAGCAGAGAACGCGGGTAGATCCACGAGTGATCCGACGTAGATTCGAGCAAGTCCGTCGGACCGCTCTCCTCATTAGACAATCGTCCCTCCGAGGAGACGCGCCTCCGAGCGGAATAACGTTAAAATCACGAGCCCCCGATCAGACGGGCGATCACCCGAGATAACTACCGAAAGGTACGAATACTCTCTCGCGACCGCGCTAAATCATTCCTCGATTTATCCCGCGGTCGCTCGAACGTCCAGCTGAATCGACGCTCAATTACGCGGTCGAACGAGTAAACAGTAATAATTAACGAGCGGTCTCGAGAGCGGCCGATAAAAACTTTTATATCGGGCTATAAAGGCGAGGGTGGATGACCATCGTTTAGCGGGTTAAGCGCCGGGTAACGCCGCATACAAACGTTACTCGAGCAGCGGGAGGACTCGACGTGAAGGGGACCGTAAAGGACACGGCGGTTACAACCGGCGCTTAACCGACCCCGCAGGACACGGGGGTGTAAAAGTTCGCCGCTCCCCCTCCCCCCCCCTGCGCCAGCCCTCCACCCTCTCCCTGCTAGCACTCACAGTTCAATGTACTTACCTGCAAATTGGTTCGTCTCGCTCGTCCGGCGGATTCAGGAAATTGCCGTCGTTCACCGCCGAAGACGTCGAGCCCCGCGGCGACCTCGGGCCGCCCTCCGGTTCGCCAATCAGCACTTCCGTCCGACCATTTTGGAAAGGGCTGCTCGACCGTCGTTCCCCGATTCTTCCGCCCTGCACCGGTTGCTGTCGGACAAACGGGCGCGCGTGTTACGTCTTCGTGTCGATACGCCACGGGACACCCGCGAAGTTTATCACCTTCGGCGGGCACTTGGTTTCATCCACCTCGAGTTTGATCGGCGGATTGCTCCCTAAAGCTCGCGCGGACATCTCACCGGCTTTCGACAGCTTTGTACGTAGAGGAAAGTCCTCTGTTACGAGATAGGCTTCTAATACGAGGTAGCAGGCTTTCAACATCCTAATTTAATCACAAATCTTTATTCGCAACGATTACACGATCCAGCAATGAATTTCCCACTGAGCAGCTTTCACTCCAAGGGCAATAAAATCACGATGAAACCAACAGACGATGCCTATTAATTTAGCAAAAACCCCGCTATCTTATATTAGGAGCTTATCTCATAATAGCGGACTTTCCTGCAATAAAGATTTTGAGATGACTCACTTTGGTTTGTTAATTTACCTCCTTTCTTTTTACGTGATAACTAATTAACAATTTTTATATCTCGTATGTTTGTTGATGAAACTAGGATCGAAACGTTGTAATTTGTTAAACAAATGAATCCGCCAGTTGGATCGACAATAAGCCCCCTGTTTTAATTAATAAAGATTTTGTTGCTTTTCTCGAAACTCAGGTCGAGGTAAAACCACGACACGATAATGTCCGACCCGTTTACATCCGGCCCGATATTGCACGATTGAGACATATATAATGAGAGTTTTTTCCATTTTTTTCCCCGGGGGTTGACGGAACACGTAAATCTCCACGACTGATTATTGACGCGTTAAAACGTGTCCAGGCTGTTCGGCAAACAAGCTCGGAGTGATTCTCACTTAAGCAAACGTATACGAATAAACGTGCGGGAGGACATTTCTAAAAAAAAAAAAGTACCGTGATTGTTGCTCGGCGATTAATTCAGAGAAACGTACCACGGAACAATAAATAACAGCAGCCTGCGAGCCTCGCGAAGACTCCCATTAACGAGCCTAATGCTGGCAATTAAGCGTGATAAACTACCGATGGCGTTTTACTATTCCGGAAACTGTTTAATAATTACTTAAGAAATCCAGCGGATGTGGCTTACGCAAACGACGAGCGATTAGCGCCGACATAAAGTAGCGTTGGAAAAAATACGAGAGGAAAAACTTTACAATTATAAAACAATATATATATATATACATGTATATATATTTCTAGTCCGACTCGTGTAACGTGTGTGCACATTATGTCGCGTACTTTCGCGATTATGTAGGTTTCAAAATCCAGCGTGGACATTTAATTGTATTTAATAATTTAACGTCGCACGCGGGCGCTGCTTTATATTTAAATTAACATCTCTTTAATTTATCTCTTTATGTAATCACTTGCGCCACTAATTAACGTCAAAATTTGTTTACGTGTACATTACAAGCTATTATATGTATAATGAATTATTAATAATAATGAATACTATTTTTCCCTTTGTATTTCCACGCCGCTAAAGTAAATTGTAAGTTTACGTTACCAAGAGGTTCGCCTCTTCGTAGCTGTGTTGCTTTTCCAATGCGTCCTTCCGCTCCTGCGAGGTGTTTTCCACTCGGATGTCCGCCTCTTTTCCTAATCCCTTCGGAATCGTACCGTTGCTAAGTTTGGTGGAGAAAGCATTCGGCCCCAATTCCCTGAAACAATTACGACAGGATTAATTAAGACGCGACAGTAAAATTAATCAATCAGCCGCCGATAAGCGATAACCATAAAATAGAAAATGCTCTCCGACTTTCCCCTATTGTACAAAACAAAAATGGGCCGCGCGAACGCGCCGGCATTGTGAAAGGATATCAATCACGACAATCGCAATTTGTCACATCCGGCCTGCAACGATGCCTCCTATAGGCGCTGCATACATTTTCCCCGTTACAACACAGACGCTGGTTTATTATGCTTTGACAGAAACATCCCGGGGGATATTAAACCTTCGGAAATTAATTACAAGTATTGCGCCTGAGAAGCGACACCGTCCTATCGTGTCCGCGACACAAATTCTTTTTAATCGACTCCGAGACACCTGTACCCCGACAATTCTGTCATTAATCGTAAATTTACGAGCGAAAATTTTACAAGTTACACCGAGTTTTATCCCCGGCGCTTCGCTTGTTACGACACAACGAACTTGTTTTATTATATTAAAAAAAGGCAAATGCTTATTGTTAGTAACGACATGAAGGAAGGAGAGATGACTTACTTGTCCGCCAAAGTAACCGTAATTTGGCCATTCACGTCTTTCGAGGTGGAGTCTTCGCTTGTGGACGCTACCGCGTCGTTTATCTGGAAACAACAACGGAAGCAATAACATTAACGAAAAGCAGTCCGAAATAAATACGCGTCTCTCTCTCTCTCTCTCTCTCTCTCTCTCTCTCTCTCTCTCTCTCTCTCTCTCTCGCTCGCTCTTTCGATTTCATTCTCGGTGGAATTAATCTCTCGAAATTAGCAGCCGTTAATATCGCAGCGACGTCTTTATTGCAGTAATACTACACCGCATGCTGCATGCAAATTTTGCAACGAGGCTGCCACCGCGATAAACAACAAATTTTAGCGGGATTGCGACTTCTTTTTATTTGGTCGCGACGATTGAAAATTTGATCGAATGGCGAGTTATCGCAATCGCGCGATGGTATTACGTTGTACCGTTCAATTTAGCTTTATAAAAAGTGGCTGATCGCTCAGTCTCACTTCATTTTTGTCGCACGTGCTTCCGCATTTCTGGCCAACGTACACAATCCCCGTATTCATCTCTATCTCCAACGTGTGACGTGTAAATCCGCAACTCGCTCGCGCGTGTGTTGCTTTATACATTAATTTTAAATAACTTAATTCCCTAATAAACTAATTCCTCGTGTAAAATGTAATAAAAGTGATTTCGTCGACGTTACACAAGTGGAATCCACTACCAGTTAATAACGCTTAGCGACAAGTGTGCGATGTGCAAACAACGATAATCACGGAAAACAATGCCAACTTTTACCGAAATATCCTTTCGTCAAATAACAACAACAACGTCGAACATTTCGTTATGCCGAAAAGAAATTTAAAAGTGTCACATAATTTGGAAAGAAATAGAAATAATTTCCCAAAGTTCACTCTTCTCTTCAGTCAAGTAAATACTGTTCTCAGTTACATATATAATATTATTATTACTATCATTATGTCACTGAAATTTCGTCTATTTATTACAGTAAAATATCTGGAGATGGACCCACGAGTTTTAGATAATACTCTAAAGTGCCATGTACACGTCGTCTAGACGCAGATTACGTGCAGACGTCCGACATTGCGGTTTAGTGAATATCTCATCAACCTGAAACGTCTTAACCGTCTTGTACAATGCATCCTAATACCATTTCAGCACCAGTGTCGTGGAAAAATTGACGGCGCAAAATGGCCGGACAATTTCCCAAATGGCACTGCCATCATCCAATTAACCGGAGGTCCCTTACTTCTACACCTTCCATTTATCCGAATTACGTACTGATATAAAAGAAAAGAACAAGGAGTGACAGGGAGAGACGCGGAGAGACAGGGAGAGACAGGGAGAGACAGGGACAGCCGCGGAGAGACAGGGAGCGACAAGGGGAGACAGGGAGAGGCAAGGAGAGACACAGAGAGACGCGGAGGAACAAGCAGAGACAGGGAGAGACACAGAGAGACAAGGAGAGACAGGGAGAGACGGGGAGAGACAGGGAGAGACGGGGAGAGACAGGGAGAGACGCGGAGAGATAGGGAGAGCCAGGGAAAGACACGGAGAGACGCGGAGAGACGCGGAGAAGCAGGGAGAGACAGGGAGAGACAAGGAGAGACAGAGAGAGAGAGAGACAGGGAGGGAGAGAGGAGAGAGAGGGAGAGAGAGAAATATGCGGCGCGTTGTTGATAGCAATAAGTGGCTAATCGTGCTCGGAGTGATATCGAGAAAACTCGTTAACGGTTGTCAGTGTGTTACGACATCCTCCGTGCGGTTTCCGTTCCGAGATGTGTTTCACGCGATACGCGAGAACCCGATGCGTGCCTGCTTACGCGAGATTTTAAACCCGCATGCCGTATCGCGATCACGCGAAACGATCCCGCATACGACCTTAAAATATCTCGGCCGCTCGGTCGAGCGTTAACAATGAACAATGCGCGAAACTTTTCTTAGGCCCGGTGTTACATTTCCTGATAAACTGTTAACCAGAGTTTAATCGATTATCTGTCTCTTCATAGATAATAATATAGGAAAAGCTAGAGAGTGTCGACTAACTTCCTTATTAACAGTTAACCAGAAAATAAAACGCCAGGCCTGAAACAAACCGGTTGTCAAATGATTGTTGATTCGACAAGTGCTCTCCGAGGAAGAACGAAATGTTTGCAATTATATCGAAAGTGTAACACAGCGTAATACAATATCGCGAAAGTTATTTCTATAAGCCAATTCCCATAAATGTTAGTTGAAGGTAAACTTTCACTAATAGTTCTCGATCGAAGCGGGCTTGAACGCGAGAGTGAGTAAAACCAATTTTCGCGAACTCATATTCGACTGGAAATGTATTCGAATGTAAATTACAACTTGAGGCAGAATTATGGCATCGTTAATCGCTCTCGGAGAGCGAATCCGTTTCATCGAGTAAGCGCGAGCCTTACCTTTGCGGAAGCGAAAAGAAAAATCGCGTGGAGAAAAAAGACATGCGCACTGAAGAGACGGCGAAGCAATTAATTGAAAATCTCTTTAGTCATTTAACTCTTTAACTATTTATAGATATGACCTTACGTTTTATTCGCGATAATAAATACGAGAGTGTCGAGACGGGGAGAAAAAAGATCTGTCGGACAAACGTAAAGGAATTTTCGCGCGTCCGTAGTGCCGAGGTCCAGCTCGGGCGGGATTACATCGGTCTCCCGTCTCCGCTCAAAAGTACGATACTCTCGAGTGAAGTGTCGGATGGCACCAATATTTGTCGCTCGGTTACCAACTCAGCGAAAACGTCGGGTATCGATACTCTTTCGGGCAGCTTTACTCTCGCGACGAGCGCCGCGTCGTCGGCGGCCGCGCTTACAGCGTAAGGCTGGTATTACATTTTTGTCGTACGACAAATTTTTCAAGCCTGTTCATTGGCTGCGGGATAGAAAAGTTCTTGAGCGTCTAGATAGCCAATTTCCTGTAGCCGATCAACACGTTTAAAAAATTTGCTGTACGACAAATGTAATAGTATCCTAAGGCTGGTATTACATTTGTTCGTACGACAAACTTTTCAGGTGTATTGATCGGCTGCTTTGAAATTGATAGACAATTTCTAGATACTAAAGAATTTTACTATCCTGCAGCCAATCAGCGCGCATGAAAAATTTGTCGTACGACACATTTTTTAAAT